ACATATGGTTTGAGGTGATTAATTGCCTAATGAATTGCTGATAGCTCTTGTTCTGTGGTTGACTTATTACTTTCACCTTTAGTGAAACTGCGAGATGCATAGGCTACAGTTAATTGAAGACCGTTATAGTTTTGAGTTAAAACTGCTCCACATGCCTCCTTGCTAGCATCTGTGATTATGCAAAATTCTTTGCTAAAATCGGGGTATTGCAGTACCACCGTAGTTATTATTCCCACCACGGTGGTTGCCACGGCCATATGAGTTGTTACCTTATAAGCCGTTTCCCCTTCCTCTGTAATTACCTCTGTTGGTATTACCTTGGGAGTTTCTTCGTCCTCTTGTGAATAAAATAGAGTTCATACTACCAGTCATCTCATTGCTGTAGTGAACGTATTTGGCTACCGCTTTATTCATTGTTTTGAATGAGCCTGCCTCAAGAATTGTCTTGAGCTTTCCCATTTTGCAATTTCTTGTCATTGTTGTTATGGCTTCTTTGGTACTGAAAATGTCAGCATGTTCAGCACCTAGGCCTTCATCAATATACGATGCTTCTAACAATTTGCGTAAATTGTCTATTTCAATTGTGTGGCTGTTTTACCTTTTTGGTATACATTTGCCATTTTAGCTTTTACTACTTCAGATGTTTCACCGACAATTTTCTCTTGTAATATCTTAATAATATCTACTATATCAGTCTCATTTTGAACTATGTAGAGGGTGGAGCCAATTATTTTTGACTTTATTACTTCAATTGCAATGCTTTCATAAGGTCCCTTTGTAAGGTTGACCAATTTGATTGCTGTAATAAATCTTTGCAAATTTGGGTCCATTCCATTTATAGACATTTTTAATTTATCTGTGCAAACGCACAATAAAAATGTCAGTAGGTCCTAAAATAGGGTACTCTAATTTTTGGGTGTTTTTTTGAATGCTTCTAAATCTAACGTTCTGCCTAATGGTCGTTCTTTAATGATCGACCTAACTTGTATACCCGGAAGGGTTGTCAATACTATTCCTTTTTGTGTTTTTGTACAATGCATTAATGGTGAGAAATCTAAATGAAATGTATCCATATATAAAGTTTCTATTTCATATGTGCTTACGGGGGTCGTTGAGACCAATTGTTGAATTCTTTCCTTAAAACAGGCATCTCTAACATAGACTTCTCTTATTGCTTCTATTATGTCCATTATCAAGAATTTTCTTATCTTTTTTTTCTATTTTTATATATTTTATTTTTGAGCTTAATTTCATTGTTTTATTTATCCTTTTCATATCTCTTATTGTTTACTTTTTTACATTTTGTACTTTTAGTACATTGTTATATTTTGTACAGATCATTAGCTCTGCTTAAGTAACGTTTTTTAATTTTCTTGTTATGCATTGCATAAATTTTGAGTGCTAATGAAATGACAGATACAACGGCTATGATTAGCAATATAATTGAAATATCTTCCAATTATTCTCTATGATCGATGACTTTTACATAATTAATGACATTTGCTTTGATGATTTTTCAACCTTGGACTCGTTCGAGCCCATTTTAATTAAAATGTCTTATATCGTTGTATTGTATCTGAACGAATTATTACTTATAAAATTTTTCTTTTTTTTATTTTAAATTTTTGTTTATTTTCAAATGTTAATAATTTTCTTGTACTTATGTACAATTAGATAGTTTTTGGGTTTTTAATATTGGCAGAAGACAATTTTTTTTTTTGTTAAGCTTATTATTGGTTTTATGCCATATATATTGCTTATTTTGTTTCTTAAATTTTGGATAATATGACAAAATCCTACCTAGCGTTACGCATAGATTTACGGGCTATGCTGCTAAACGAGCGGATGTGTTTCCGCTTAATTTTACAAAAATTTTTATTTTTATATTAATATACTAAAAGTATATAGCTGCATCTGGTGTCTTCTGTCAGTAGACAAGGTATAGATGGTCCTTCTTTTGCTGGTCCGCCGCATCAGGATATATCACGCTGATGCTGTCCCAATGGCGCAGCTTGTTGCGCTGGCGATACCGGTGCTGGTCTTCGCACAGGTATTCACTGGTTAGTGGTGCTTGTTGTGCAGTGCTTGCACGTGTAGTTGCAGAAGGGGCTATCCAGCGGGCCTTCGCAATCCTGTGGGCATGTTTTCTTCACTTTTGAGAGGATGACTGCGGCAATGTGTGTATCATTATTATATTGTGGTTGTTTGGTTTATAATAACTTTTATATTCGCTTAGTGAGTAGCAGTGATAGACTTTTTCTGCTTAATTATATTTTGCAGGAAGTCGAGCTCAGTTTTTAACTTCTGAGCTGTCGACCATGCTTGGCGTTTTTGTATATAGCAACCACCTTAGGTGCGCTATTCTTTTTATACCCTTGCAGAGGGTATTATAATTTTGTCGTGAAATGTGTAACGCATAGAAGGAGACATCTCCGACCCCATAAAGTATATATATTCTTGATCAGTATCAACAGCCGAGTTGATATAGCCATGTCCGTCTGTCCGTCTGTCTGTTTCTATGCGAACTAGTCTCTCAGTTTTAAAGCTATCTTTATGAAACTTTGCAGAAGTCCCTCTTTCTGTTGCACGCAGTTCATATCTCAAAACCAGCTGGATCGGACCACTATATCATATAGCTGCCATAGGAACGATCGGACGAAAAGTAGGTTCTTGTATGAAAAACATTTTTGTTTATAAAGTTATCTTTACTAAACTTGGTATTTATTAGTTTTACTACTTTCCACATATATATGCAAAATACTATTAAGATCGGACAACTATATCATATAGCTGCCATAGGAAAGATCGGTCGAAAATTAAGTTTTTGTATGGAAAATTTTTATGTTTTTCAAGATATCTTGACCAAACTCGGTATTTATTAGTTTTACTACGCTCCCCATATATATGCAAAATCCTATTAAGATCGGACAACTATATCATATAGCTGCCATAGGAACGATCGTTCGAAAATTATGCGGTTGTATGGATTTTTTTTTGTTTTTCAAGATATCTTGACCAAGCTCGGCATTTATTAGTTTTACTAAGCTCCCTCCACTTATGCAAAATCTTATTCACATCGGGCTACTATATCATATAGCTGCCATAGGAACGATCGGTCGAAATTTAAGTTTTTATATGGAAAATTTTTATATTTTTCAAGATATCATGACCAACCTCGGTACTTATTAGTTTTACTAAGCTCCCCATATATATGCAAAATTCTATTAAGATCGGGCAATTATATCATATAGCTGCCATAGGAAAGATCGGTCGAATATTAAGTTTTTGTATGGAAAATTTTTATGTGTTTCAAGATATCTTGACCAAACTCAGTGGTTATTAGTTTTACTACGCTCCCCATATATATGCAAAATCCTATTAAGATCGGACAACTATATCATATAGCTGCCATAGGAACGATCGGTCGAAAATTATGCTGTTGTATGGAATTTTTTTTGTTTTTCAAGATGTCTTGACTAAGCTCGGCATACTCGGCATTAACTATTTTCCCTGTGCTTCTTAGATAAGGGCAAAGCACTATGAGCATTTTGAAAAGGTTGGGTCTGCAAGGGTATTAAATCTTCGGTGTGCCGAAGATAGCACTTCTTTCTCGTTTTAATTTTATTTTGTACGCCACTGCGTTTCTTGGCCATAACAATCACTCTCTACTCACTCAGGAAACTTTGACGCTCGATGTCCCAGTTACGACGTCAGATGTTATTGATGGGCTCTTGTCGCAGTCAGTGTACTGTCGTTTTCCTCCAGTGGTTTACTTTTTCCAGGGGTTTATTTCCTCCAGAGGTTTATTTCCTTAATTGTCCAGTTTGTCTACTGCCTCCAGGCAGTTTAGAAATCGTATTTCAATAAGCCAATCAGCACGTCAGTGCAGTTTTGTGGGTATATTCTCAATGAATTTATTTGCCTTTTAAATTGTGCGCTTAGCCTATGGATATATATACCTATGCTGTTATTGGTTATCAGCTACAAAGAGAGGGAGAGTGAGTAGCTAGCATATGCCTGTATCAGTGAACATATATATTGCTCATGGAATGCGCTCAGACGGAGCGTGTGATATGCAGCGTAAGCATAAACGGTCAGCTAGTGAGGGTAGTGAACCGCGCTGCTTAATATAAGCCAGAGCCAATACATAAAGTAGCTCTGGGCTTGTTTACTGTATAATTGTTATTGTATGCAACAAAGTGCCGCATACTTTATATTTAAATACAGGGTGTTTGGTTAGGGCATATACACACTACAATAAGCATAGAAGACAGGAACAATATTACCCTAGGTTTAGGAAAAAATAATCCGCTTGTAGTAAATAAAATAGGCTAAAATTATGCAATAACTAATTTAGCTCGAGACTAATATTATTCAAGGACTACTCAGCCATCGAACAATTTAAAAATTAAATTTTTTATTTTACTTTTTTAACGTTATTCAAAGATAAGAAAAAACTCAAATACTTTAATCAATTTTTAAATTCGTATACATTTTTTTACTATTTTTCAATTTTCAAAATTTTTTTTTATGAATAAGTTCACTAAATAAGTAAACATTTATAATATTACGTTATTACTTTAAATTTGTTACAATCTTAAATATTGCCATTGACAACAATGGATATAAACCAACAAATCAAAACATAAGCGCAAGTCAGTGAGTTGATCAAATGTAATATGATCAGCCAAATGACGGCCACCGTCTTATGCCGACTTAGGGCATAAGCGCTGACCATGCATCCCAAAGGCAAGGCCCGGGAGCGCTGTGTACGAAAAGTACATAGCTGCACGTGTACTAATAGTTTAATTCAAATATACATGCATGTGAATGCTCTCCCTCTCTGACGATGTTAGCTTTAAAATAATTAGCTTAAGTCCATTTTATGTATGGAAATGAAAAAAAGAATAAATTCAGAACCAAAACGGAGCAGACGTTCCGCAAGAGAAAAGAAGTGTTATTATTCTAAAGACAAATGCAAACCAGAACTGACGTGCTTGTGTCATTTAAAGCGGATAATTTATTACACAAATAAAACAAGGATAATTTTATTATAACACACACAGATAAGCAAACACACAGAGATTAACATACAAGCAAGCGTGACAAACAGACAAATTAAAAGAAAAAGAGACAGACAGACAGGCAGGCCGACAGAAAGACAGGCAGGTATGCCGACAGACATGCAGGCAGACAGAAATAGACAGACAAAGGGACAGACATGCCAATAGGCAGACAGGCAGGCAGTCAGAAAGAAAGAGAAAAAGACACATACGCAGGCAGACAGAGTGCCTGACATGTAGAGACAGTTTGAAAGTCAGGCACTGACAGACTGACAGACAGAGGCTGGCCTGCATATGACAGACAGACAGACACACTGACAAATAGACAGAGAAAGACTGACAGACAAATATACAGACTTAAAGACAAGCAGACAAACGCACAGAAAGACAGCCTTACAGAGACAAACTGACGGCCAGATATACCATTAGACAGATAGAGACAGACAATCAGAGTGACCAGAAAGAACGACAAGCTTGCCGACAGAGATACAGACACACAAAGACAGAAAAAGACAGACTGTCACAGAGACAGACAGACATTCAGGCAAGTAGTCGGGTAGACAGAAAGAAAAAACAACAGACAGATTGTTTGACAGGTAGAAGCGTACAGACAGACATGAATTCAGACCGTCAGCCGGACAGACAGAGACTGACAGACACACCGATAGACAGGTAGAGACCGACAAACAGGCAGACGAAAAGAATGAAAGAGACAGACAGAACGAAAGACAGGGAGCCAGAAAAACTGATAGCCAGACAGACAAAAAGATAGACACTTTTTTCGACAGGCATACAGTCACAGGCAAAAAAAAACTTGCAGACGGGCAGACAGACAGACATGAAGGCAGACAGGCTGTCTGACAGGTAGAAACATAAAAACTGAGCGAATGACAGGCATTCAGACCGTCAGCTGGAATGACAGAGAATGACAGACAGACCGTCAGACAGACATACAGACAGTTAGCCAGATGTAGACAAACATGCAGATGACAGAGCGACAAAAAGACAGGCGGACAAAGACAGACATATAGACAGACAGACAAATAGTAAGATAGACAGATAAACAGACAGATTGGCAAACGCACAGACATAGACAGACCGACAGGTGGACAGAGAGAGGGAAAAAGAGTACGTCCGTACCCACAAGAATCTATCGCTGTATCTCTAACAGGGACAAGTTGGAAAAAGCAACGGCATACGAAAGGTACAAATTCGCGCAGTGGAAACTTACTATTAAGATCGGGCAACTATATCATATAGCTGCCATAGGAACGATCGGTCGAAAATTAAGTTTTTGTATGGAAAATTTTTATGTTTTTCAAGATATCTTGACCAAACTCGGTATTTATTAGTTTTACTACGCTCCCCATATATATGCAAAATCCTATTAAGATCGGACAACTATATCATATAGCTGCCATAGGAACGATCGGTCGAAAATTATGCTGTTGTATGGAATTTTTTTTGTTTTTCAAGATGTCTTGACTAAGCTCGGCATACTCGGCATTAACTATTTTCCCTGTGCTTCTTAGATACGGGCAAAGCACTATGAGCATTTTGAAAAGGTTGGGTCTGCAAGGGTATTAAATCTTCGGTGTGCCGAAGATAGCACTTCTTTCTCGTTTTAATTTTATTTTGTACGCCACCGCGTTTCTTGGCCATAACACTCACTCTCTACTCACTCAGGAAACTTGGACGCTCGATGTCCCAGTTACGACGTCAGATGTTATTGATGGGCTCTTGTCGCAGTCAGTGTACTGTCGTTTTCCTCCAGTGGTTTACTTTTTCCAGGGGTTTATTTCCTCCAGAGGTTTATTTCCTTAATTGTCCAGTTTGTCTACTGCCTCCAGGGGCAGGGTTTCGTTAACATATCACGGTCGCCATGTAGAAATCGTATTTGATTTTTGCACATAAATATATTTCAATAAGCCAATCAGCACGTCAGTGCAGTTTTGTGGGTATATTCTCAATGAATTTATTTGCCTTTTAAATTGTGCGCTTAGCCTATGGATATATATACCTATGCTGTTATTGGTTATCAGATACAAAGAGAGGGAGAGTGAGTAGCTAGCATATGCCTGTATTAGTGAGCATATATATTGCTCATGGAATGCGCTCAGACAGAGCGTGTGATATGCAGCGTAAGCATAAACGGTCAGCTAGTGAGGGTAGTGAACCGCGCTGCGTAATATAAGCCAGAGCCAATACATAAAGTAGCTCTGGGCTTGTTTACTGTATAATTGTTATTGTATGCAACAAAGTGCCGCATACTTTATATTTAAATACAGGGTGTTTGGTTAGGGCATATACACACTACAATAAGCATAGAAGACAGGAACAATATTACCCTAGGTTTAGGAAAAAAGAATCCGCTTGTAGTAAATAAAATAGGCTAAAATTATGCAATAACTAATTTAGCTCGAGACTAATATTATTCAAGGACTACTCAGCCATCGAACAATTTAAAAATAAAATTTTTTATTTTACTTTTTTAACGTTATTCAAAGATAAGAAAAAACTCAAATACTTTAATCAATTTTTAAATTCGTATACATTTTTTTTTACTATTTTTCAATTTTCAAAATTTTTTTTTATGAATAAGTTCACTAAATAAGTAAACATTTATAATATTACGTTATTACTTTAAATTTGTTACAATCTTAAATATTGCCATTGACAACAATGGATATAAACGAACAAATCAAAACATAAGCGCAAGTCAGTGAGTCGATCAAATGTAACATCTGACGATGTTAGCTTTAAAATAATTAGCTTAAGTCCATTTTATGTATGGAAATGAAAAAAAGAATAAATTCAGAACCAAAACGGAGCAGACGTTCCGCAAGAGAAAAGAAGTGTTATTATTCTAAAGACAAATGCAAACCAGAACTGACGTGCTTGTGTCATTTAAAGCGGATAATTTATTACACAAATAAAACAAGGATAATTTTATTATAACACACACAGATAAGCAAACACACAGAGATTAACATACAAGCAAGCGTGACAAACAGACAAATTAAAAGAAAAAGAGACAGACAGACAGGCAGGCCGACAGAAAGACAGGCAGGTATGCCGACAGACATGCAGGCAGACAGAAATAGACAGACAAAGGGGCAGACATGCCAATAGGCAGACAGGCAGGCAGTCAGAAAGAAAGAGAAAAAGACACATACGCAGGCAGACAGAGTGCCTGACATGTAGAGACAGTTTGAAAGTCAGGCACTGACAGACTGACAGACAGAGGCTGGCCTGCATATGACAGACAGACAGACACACTGACAAATAGACAGAGAAAGACTGACAGACAAATATACAGACTTAAAGACAAGCAGACAAACGCACAGAAAGACAGCCTTACAGAGACAAACTGACGGCCAGATATACCATTAGACAGATAGAGACAGACAATCAGAGTGACCAGAAAGAACGACAAGCTTGCCGACAGAGATACAGACACACAAAGACAGAAAAAGACAGACTGTCACAGAGACAGAAAGACATTCAGGCAGGTAGTCGGGTAGACAGAAAGAAAAAACAACAGACAGATTGTTTGACAGGTAGAAGCGTACAGACAGACATGAATTCAGACCGTCAGCCGGACAGACAGAGACTGACAGACACACCGATAGACAGGTAGAGACCGACAAACAGGCAGACGAAAAGAATGAAAGAGACAGACAGAACGAAAGACAGGGAGCCAGAAAAACTGATAGCCAGACAGACAAAAAGATAGACACTTTTTTCGACAGGCATACAGTCACAGGCAAAAAAAAACTGGCAGACGGACAGACAGACAGACATGCAGGCAGACAGGCTGTCTGACAGGTAGAAACATAAAAACTGACCGAATGACAGGCATTCAGACCGTCAGCTGGAATGACAGAGAATGACAGACAGACCGTCAGACAGACATACAGACAGTTAGCCAGATGTAGACAAACATGCAGATGACAGAGCGACAAAAAGACAGGCGGACAAAGACAGACATATAGACAGACAGACAAATAGTAAGATAGACAGATAAACAGACAGATTGGCAAACGCACAGACATAGACAGACCGACAGGTGGACAGAGAGAGGGAAAAAGAGTACGTCCGTACCCACAAGAATCTATCGCTGTATCTCTAACAGGGACAGGTTGGAAAAAGCCACGGCATACGAAAGGTACCAATTCGCGCAGTGGAAACTTACTATTACGATCGGGCAACTAATCAAGAGCTGCCATAGGAACGATCGGTCGAAAATTAAGTTTTTATATGGAAAATTTTTATGTTTTTCAAGATATCTTGACCAAACTCGGTATTTATTAGTTTTACTACGCTCCCCATATATATGCAAAATCCTATTAAGATCGGGAAACTATATCATATAGCTGCCATAGGAAAGATCGGTCGAAAATTAAGTTTTTGTATGAAAAATTTTTATGTGTTTCAAGATATCTTGACCAAACTCGGTGTTTATTAGTTTTACTACGCTCCCCATATATATGCAAAATCCTATTAAGATCGGACAACTATATCATATAGCTGCCATAGGAACGATCGGTCGAAAATTATGCTGTTGTATGGAATTTTTTTTGTTTTTCAAAATGTCTTGACTAAGCTCGGCATACTCGGCATTAACTATTTTCCCTGTGCTTCTTAGATACGGGCAAAGCACTATGAGCATTTTGAAAAGGTTGGGTCTGCAAGGGTATTAAATCTTCGGTGTTCCGAAGATAGCACTTCTTTCTCGTTTTAATTTTATTTTGTACGCCAACGCGTTTCTTGGCCATAACACTCACTCTCTACTCACTCAGGAAACTTGGACGCTCGATGTCCCAGTTACGACGTCAGATGTTATTGATGGGCTCTTGTCGCAGTCAGTGTACTGTCGTTTTCCTCCAGTGGTTTACTTTTTCCAGGGGTTTATTTCCTCCAGAGGTTTATTTCCTTAATTGTCCAGTTTGTCTACTGCCTCCAGGGGCAGGGTTTCGTTAACATATCACGGTCGCCATGTAGAAATCGTATTTGATTTTTGCACATAAATATATTTCAATAAGCCAATCAGCACGTCAGTGCAGTTTTGTGGGTATATTCTCAATGAATTTATTTGCCTTTTAAATTGTGCGCTTAGCCTATGGATATATATACCTATGCTGTTATTGGTTATCAGCTACAAAGAGAGGGAGAGTGAGTAGCTAGCATATGCCTGTATCAGTGAACATATATATTGCTCATGGAATGCGCTCAGACGGAGCGTGTGATATGCAGCGTAAGCATAAACGGTCAGCTAGTGAGGGTAGTGAACCGCGCTGCGTAATATAAGCCAGAGCCAATACATAAAGTAGCTCTGGGCTTGTTTACTGTATAATTGTTATTGTATGCAACAAAGTGCCGCATACTTTATATTTAAATACAGGGTGTTTGGTTAGGGCATATACACACTACAATAAGCATAGAAGACAGGAACAATATTACCCTAGGTTTAGGAAAAAGAATCCGCTTGTAGTAAATAAAATAGGCTAAAATTATGCAATAACTAATTTAGCTCGAGACTAATATTATTCAAGGACTACTCAGCCATGGAACAATTTAAAAATTAAATTTTTTATTTTACTTTTTTAACGTTATTCAAAGATAAGAAAAAACTCAAATACTTTAATCAATTTTTAAATTCATATACATTTTTTTTTACTATTTTTCAATTTTCAAAATTTTTTTTTATGAATAAGTTCACTATATAAGTAAACATTTATAATATTACGTTATTACTTTAAATTTGTTACAATCTTAAATATTGCCATTGACAACAATGGATATAAACGAACAAATCAAAACATAAGCGCAAGTCAGTGAGTCGATCAAATGTAACATCTGACGATGTTAGCTTTAAAATAATTAGCTTAAGTCCATTTTATGTATGGAAATGAAAAAAAGAATAAATTCAGAACCAAAACGGAGCAGACGTTCCGCAAGAGAAAAGAAGTGTTATTATTCTAAAGACAAATGCAAACCAGAACTGACGTGCTTGTGTCATTTAAAGCGTATAATTTATTACACAAATAAAACAAGGATAATTTTATTATAACACACACAGATAAGCAAACACACAGAGATTAACATACAAGCAAGCGTGACAAACAGACAAATTAAAAGAAAAAGAGACAGACAGACAGGCAGGCCGACAGAAAGACAGGCAGGTATGCCGACAGACATGCAGGCAGACAGAAATAGACAGACAAAGGGGCAGACATGCCAATAGGCAGACAGGCAGGCAGTCAGAAAGAAAGAGAAAAAGACACATACGCAGGCAGACAGAGTGCCTGACATGTAGAGACAGTTTGAAAGTCAGGCACTGACAGACTGACAGACAGAGGCTGGCCTGCATATGACAGACAGACAGACACACTGACAAATAGACAGAGAAAGACTGACAGACAAATATACAGACTTAAAGACAAGCAGACAAACGCACAGAAAGACAGCCTTACAGAGACAAACTGACGGCCAGATATACCATTAGACAGATAGAGACAGACAATCAGAGTGACCAGAAAGAACGACAAGCTTGCCGACAGAGATACAGACACACAAAGACAGAAAAAGACAGACTGTCACAGAGACAGAAAGACATTCAGGCAGGTAGTCGGGTAGACAGAAAGAAAAAACAACAGACAGATTGTTTGACAGGTAGAAGCGTACAGACAGACATGAATTCAGACCGTCAGCCGGACAGACAGAGACTGACAGACACACCGATAGACAGGTAGAGACCGACAAACAGGCAGACGAAAAGAATGAAAGAGACAGACAGAACGAAAGACAGGGAGCCAGAAAAACTGATAGCCAGACAGACAAAAAGATAGACACTTTTTTCGACAGGCATACAGTCACAGGCAAAAAAAAACTGGCAGACGGACAGACAGACAGACATGCAGGCAGACAGGCTGTCTGACAGGTAGAAACATAAAAACTGACCGAATGACAGGCATTCAGACCGTCAGCTGGAATGACAGAGAATGACAGACAGACCGTCAGACAGACATACAGACAGTTAGCCAGATGTAGACAAACATGCAGATGACAGAGCGACAAAAAGACAGGCGGACAAAGACAGACATATAGACAGACAGACAAATAGTAAGATAGACAGATAAACAGACAGATTGGCAAACGCACAGACATAGACAGACCGACAGGTGGACAGAGAGAGGGAAAAAGAGTACGTCCGTACCCACAAGAATCTATCGCTGTATCTCTAACAGGGACAGGTTGGAAAAAGCAACGGCATACGAAAGGTACCAATTCGCGCAGTGGAAACTTACTATTACGATCGGGCAACTATATCATATAGCTGCCATAGGAACGATCGGTCGAAAATTAAGTTTTTATATGGAAAATTTTTATGTTTTTCAAGATATCTTGACCAAACTCGGTATTTATTAGTTTTACTACGCTCCCCATATATATGCAAAATCCTATTAAGATCGGGAAACTATATCATATAGCTGCCATAGGAAAGATCGGTCGAAAATTAAGTTTTTGTATGAAAAATTTTTATGTGTTTCAAGATATCTTGACCAAACTCGGTGTTTATTAGTTTTACTACGCTCCCCATATATATGCAAAATCCTATTAAGATCGGACAACTATATCATATAGCTGCCATAGGAACGATCGGTCGAAAATTATGCTGTTGTATGGAATTTTTTTTGTTTTTCAAGATGTCTTGACTAAGCTCGGCATACTCGGCATTAACTATTTTCCCTGTGCTTCTTAGATACGGGCAAAGCACTATGAGCATTTTGAAAAGGTTGGGTCTGCAAGGGTATTAAATCTTCGGTGTTCCGAAGATAGCACTTCTTTCTCGTTTTAATTTTATTTTGTACGCCAACGCGTTTCTTGGCCATAACACTCACTCTCTACTCACTCAGGAAACTTGGACGCTCGATGTCCCAGTTACGACGTCAGATGTTATTGATGGGCTCTTGTCGCAGTCAGTGTACTGTCGTTTTCCTCCAGTGGTTTACTTTTTCCAGGGGTTTATTTCCTCCAGAGGTTTATTTCCTTAATTGTCCAGTTTGTCTACTGCCTCCAGGGGCAGGGTTTCGTTAACATATCACGGTCGCCATGTAGAAATCGTATTTGATTTTTGCACATAAATATATTTCAATAAGCCAATCAGCACGTCAGTGCAGTTTTGTGGGTATATTCTCAATGAATTTATTTGCCTTTTAAATTGTGCGCTTAGCCTATGGATATATATACCTATGCTGTTATTGGTTATCAGCTACAAAGAGAGGGAGAGTGAGTAGCTAGCATATGCCTGTATCAGTGAACATATATATTGCTCATGGAATGCGCTCAGACGGAGCGTGTGATATGCAGCGTAAGCATAAACGGTCAGCTAGTGAGGGTAGTGAACCGCGCTGCGTAATATAAGCCAGAGCCAATACATAAAGTAGCTCTGGGCTTGTTTACTGTATAATTGTTATTGTATGCAACAAAGTGCCGCATACTTTATATTTAAATACAGGGTGTTTGGTTAGGGCATATACACACTACAATAAGCATAGAAGACAGGAACAATATTACCCTAGGTTTAGGAAAAAGAATCCGCTTGTAGTAAATAAAATAGGCTAAAATTATGCAATAACTAATTTAGCTCGAGACTAATATTATTCAAGGACTACTCAGCCATGGAACAATTTAAAAATTAAATTTTTTATTTTACTTTTTTAACGTTATTCAAAGATAAGAAAAAACTCAAATACTTTAATCAATTTTTAAATTCATATACATTTTTTTTTACTATTTTTCAATTTTCAAAATTTTTTTTTATGAATAAGTTCACTATATAAGTAAACATTTATAATATTACGTTATTACTTTAAATTTGTTACAATCTTAAATATTGCCATTGACAACAATGGATATAAACGAACAAATCAAAACATAAGCGCAAGTCAGTGAGTCGATCAAATGTAATATGATCAGCCAAATGACGGCCACCTTCTTATGCCGACTTAGGGCATAAGCGCTGACCATGCATCCCAAAGGCAAGGCCCGGGAGCGCTGTGTACGAAAAGTACATAGCTGCACGTGCACTAATACTTTAAAAATAAAAAAAAAAAAATAAAATATACATGCATGAGAATGCTCTCCCTCTCTGACGATGTTAGCTTTAAAATAATTAGCTTAAGTCCATTTTATGTATGGAAATGAAAAAAAGAATAAATTCAGAACCAAAACGGAGCAGACGTTCCGCAAGAGAAAAGAAGTGTTATTATTCTAAAGACAAATGCAAACCAGAACTGACGTGCTTGTGTCATTTAAAGCGGATAATTTATTACACAAATAAAACAAGGATAATTTTATTATAACACACACAGATAAGCAAACACACAGAGATTAACATACAAGCAAGCGTGACAAACAGACAAATTAAAAGAAAAAGAGACAGTCAGACAGGCAGGCCGACAGAAAGACAGGCAGGTATGCCGACAGACATGCAGGCAGACAGAAATAGACAGACAAAGGGACAGACATGCCAATAGGCAGACAGGCAGGCAGTCCGAAAGAAAGAGAAAAATACACATACGCAGGCAGACAGAGTGCCTGACATGTAGAGACAGTTTGAAAGTCAGGCACTGACAGACTGACAGACAGAGGCTGGCCTGCATATGACAGACAGACAGACACACGGACAAATAGACAGAGAAAGACTGACAGACAAATATACAGACTTAAAGACAAGCAGACAAACGCACAGAAAGACAGCCTTACAGAGACAAACTGACGGCCATATACCATTAGACAGATAGAGACAGACAATCAGAGTGACCAGAAAGAACGACAAGCTTGCCGACAGAGATACAGACACACAAAGACAGAAAAAGACAGACTGTCACAGAGACAGACAGGCATTCAGGCAGGTAGTCGGGTAGACAGAAAGAAAAAACAACAGACAGATTGTTTGACAGGTAGAAGCGTACAGACAGACATGAATTCAGACCGTCAGCCGGACAGACAGAGACTGACAGACACACCGATAGACAGGTAGAGACCGACAAACAGGCAGACGAAAAGAATGAAAGAGACAGACAGAACGAAAGACAGGGAGCCAGACAAACTGATAGCCAGACAGACAAAAAGATAGACACTTTTTTCGACAGGCATACAGTCACAGGCAAAAAAAAACTGGCAGACGGACAGACAGACAGACATGCAGGCAGACAGGCTGCCTGACAGGTAGAAACATAAAAACTGACCGAATGACAGGCATTCAGACCGTCAGCTGGAATGACAGAGAATGACAGACAGACCGTCAGACAGACATACAGACAGTTAGCCAGATGCAGACAAACATGCAGATGACAGAGCGACAGAAAGACAGGCGGACAAAGACAGACATATAGACAGACAGACAAATAGTAAGATAGACAGATAAACAGACAGAGAGACAGACAGATTGGCAAATGCACAGACATAGACAGACCGACAGGTGGACAGAGAGAGGGAAAAAGAGTACGTCCGTACCCACAAGAATCTATCGCTGTATCTCTAACAGGGACAGGTTCCATGCTGGAAAAAGCAACGGCATACGAAAGGTACAAATTCGTGCAGTGGAAACTTACCAGTCGATATAAACGGCTAGCTGCGACAAAGTTCCCCGTTCTACATCACGATTGCACTCCAAATGTCGCTCCCTGTATCACCAATTACCTTCGAAGAAGTGAAGCAGGAGATGAAGAGCCTAAAGAACAGCAAAGTCCCTGGGGCAGATTGGACGATCAGACAATTAAACTACTGCCAAACAATGCGGTTCTTTTTCTCATCGCCATTTTTAATGCAGATCTTCGCCTAGATCACTTTCCAGTGGCCTGGAATAAGGCATATATCATTATGTTCCACAAGAGCGGAAAGCCCCCAATCAACTGGAATTCTATCGCCCCATTAGCGTCCTGCCTGCATTCGGCAAAATTCTGGAAAGCTGCATCCTTAAAAAGATCCTGGATACCCCAGAGATAAAATGCTTTTTGAGAAACGCATCAAACTATTAAAACAATGAGTGTAATTGTTTTACACAAACACTCATAAACACTAAAGATACTGTGACCAAACAAAGTTATTTTCATTTTTTTTAGCCTAGCTACTGGAATCACTGCCGAGTAAGCACTTTGGATCGAGGGTGCTGAAACGCTGGCAGAGCTCATTGGCTGTCCATCTGAAGCCGGGCTGGTAATATATGGCCAGCTATGGGGGCAAGCCGCAGCAACGCCAGGGGACGTGAGCTCACCGATTTCATGCACGACGCGCGCTTTGAATGTCTAACCACTGGCAGCCCCACAAGGTTCCCACCACAGGCTGGCCGCAGACCCTCCTGCCTCGACTTTGCAATATACGGGGGTCTCCCACACTGGACGCTTAGCATTGAATCTCGTGCTGACCTGAGCTCCGACCACTTACCGCTGATAATTTCAATTAATACCGCCGCCAGACACTACCCAACGCTGGAAAGGATCATCGGCAGGCAGACCAATATAAATGTCTTCAGCCGAAAGCTAAACGACATCATCTACCGGGACATGGATATAGCTTCCGCAGAGGACATCGACGACACTCTTAACGGATTCACCGAAAAGGTGCGGACTGCAGCAGCTGAAGCCAAGCGTCCTCTACCCAGTCGATGCAGGCACCGCGACGGGCTATACAAACTCTCGCCGGACCTGTTAATCCTACTTAGAGAAAAAAAAGGCTTCGTAAGATCTGGTCGCGCACTCGACACCCCGGCGACAAGGCGAACTGGCGCAGAATCGCTGACGAACTGCATTGGGAGCTTCAAGTGCAACGGGCAAGATATTTTGACAACATGCTGATGAACATGTCGTCCCAACATAACGCGGATTTCTCGCTGTGGAAGGCGACACGCGGCACAAAACGCCAACCTCTGAGGCAGGCTCCCCTCAAAAGAATTGACGGCGCCTGGTGCCGCTCAGACGCAGAGCAGGCTGCAACCTTTGCTGCCCACCTCGAGGGGCGATTCACGCCATTCAGCATCGCCACGGAAGACGAGATTGCCGAGACAAGAGCCGCTGTAGCCTCAGAAACAGAGCCGGACTCCCCCCAGCTCCATTTACCAAAGAGGAGGTGAAAAGAGTGCTCCAACTCTTGAAGCCAAACAAAGCCCCGGGACACGACTTGGTGTGCAATCGCACATTAAAAGCGCTCTCCACGAATGCTACTTTGTCCTGGTATTAATATTCAACGCCATAATGAGGTTGAAGTATTTTCCGGAGGAGTGGAAAATTTCCATCGTGACCATGATCCACAAGCCTGGCAAGCCGGAGGACGACCCCGAGTCATATCGACCGATTAGTCTCCTGCCTGCACTATCCAAGGTCTGGGAGAGACTTGTCGCAGCAAGACTTACGGCCTTTGCAGAGTCACAGCACCTAATTCCTGTCCACCAATTTGGCTTTCGCGCTGGGCACGGAACCACGGAGCAGCTACATAGGGTCATCAACCACGTTCTGGAGGCATTCGACAAAAAATTGTACTGTGTGGCGACTTTTGTCGATATCAGCCATGCATTCGACCGTATCTGGCACCTAGGGCTACTGGCAAAACTGAAACGCGGAGTGCCCTCGCCCTACTTCACCCTGATCCGATCCTACTTGGAGGGTCGTTCTTTCAGGGTGAAAGTTAGGGCGGAGCAGTCCCCCACACATTACATCCAAGCTGGCGTCCCGCAAGGTAGTGTACTAGGGCCACTTCTATTTTCGCTCTTCTCCGCAGACATGCCTACTCCAGACGCCCATGCCCTAGGTCTGCCTTCGCGCTCACTTCTAATGGCCTCATATGCCGACGACGTCTGCGAAATGGTCAGCGCCAGGTCCCCAGTTGTTGCTGCAGAGTATCTGGACCTCCTTAGCAGTTGGGCTCGACGCTGGAACGTCAAACTAAGCCCTGCCAAAAGCACCACCGTGTGCTTCACAATTAGAAGAGGAGTACCGCCAGCGCTGAGGTTAAACGGACTAACGCTTACCCAAAAAAGTGAAACAAAATACCTGGGCGTCACCCTTGACAAACGCCTCACTTTCGCCAGCCACATCAAAGGAGCTGTGCAACGCTGTCGAAATAAGCTGACCAAGTTAAATTGGCTCCTCAACCCCCGCAGCAAACTTTCCCTTGGAAGTAAACGGCTTGTGTATTTACAAACTGTGGCACCCAT